AAAATCGTGTATCGTTTCAATTCTTGATGAAAAATAAGGAGAAATCGGTTACAAATGGATTAAAAGTATATTTGATCTTATCAACTCCGTTAATTTCTTCTTTGCTATAAACAAATTACAGAATTAAGTTCATATCACATTATTTTCGATCTAATGTAATTCAGTTTAAATATTGGAGTAGATCGCCGGAACCACTATACACATCGGAAAACCATTGGTCTTTTTCTAATATTAACACCTGTTGTGTTGTGACAAACCATAAAATATGTGTTCGGTTCCAGAGCCCAACGAGGTCAACTGTCAACATCAAGTGATATTATTATTAATTATGCGGTAATAAATGTAGACAGTGGATCAGGGATCTACATTCTACCTCGCTGCAGAAAAAAGAATTACTTACTCATAATCCGTCGTTAATTAAGAGAGTGGCCGACAAGGTTTTCATCTCTCCACATGCAATATCAAAGTTTAACCGCCGTTATTTTTTTCTTAATCATCTTACCTCCGTGAAACATTATGGATATCTATTGTCATTGATTTGAGTAATTATACAAGCATTACAGTTTACAGATTTACAAAGGATAAATGTGATTGTTAAAAAAAGACATGATAAATCACTACATATAAAAAAATATCAACCATCCCATAAATACTTTGATGTAATAACTTGAGGTAACATTATCTTATTGAGATTTCTTCATGTACAAAATCTCACTCATCTCGAATATTGACTATATCACCAGAACCATGATGTCATGACTCTACCTATCAGAGGCTCAGAGCAAGCTAAGCTGATGGAGAGACCAAGCATATGAGAGTTGATGGATGAGTTTCAAATTATCATTGCTATAAGAATTGCTTTCTGAGCGGAGTTAAGTAGCTCCATAGTAGTGGTGGAGTTACGAGTAGTTCACAAGAGGCTACGGACTATATTACATTAGTTGACTATAAATTATTGCATGGAGCTCTTAGTAGACACTAGTTATATGTTAGCCAAAGACTATATTGCACTAGTGGACTGTAAATCGAAGCTTGTAGTTGTAGCTAAACAATGGGAGCCACTGAGTACCCCCCTAAATTGTACACAAGGTTGATAGGAAGGTTGCACTACCAAACTATCACAAAGCCAAATTTACCTATCCAACTCAACAATTGAGTCAGTTTCAGTATGAGTCTTACAGAGCGCCTACAAGCTGCTTTCAAAGTTATGAGGTATCTATGCACCAGACCAGGGACTAGTTTCCAAGACTAACACAAAGCTTGAATTATCCAGATACTCATATTCAAATTGGACATGTATAAATACTACTGATTATATTATATTGCTAGTTCAGTTATTGATAACTTAGAGGGCTAAAAAAAATTAAACAACCGTGTCCAAATAATCATATGAAGTATAATACATGACACTAGCACAAATAGTATGTGAATTGCAATAGCTAAGAGGGGTTGGTTGAAGGAGTGGGAGTTAAAGTACTTCTTCCACTTTAACTCACCAACATGTGGGGTAGTATTAGAGCAAGTTGATGGAGAGACCAAGCATGACAGTTGATGAAGATAATTATGTCATGGATTTGCAGCAACGTAAATGAAGTTAACCAAGGAAACAAAGAAATGAAGAAGTTGCTCGAAGCATCATCGGTGCTAGAAGAATTGCGTCACTAGCAAATTCCTCAAAACTTAACGAGTTTTCTTTTTTTCTTCTTCCACTAACCCTAGCAACTTCCGCCAACTTTTTGCTACATAGTCTGATAGTCAATGGCAGCCAGAATATGGTTGAGGGGGACTAAAAGATCTATGTTCATAGGATTTGAATCATGATCACGGAGAAACAGGTTAGAGCCTGATCAATTAATCTATTTTCACAATGGATGAAGTACTCAAGTACTCCACATGGCTACACCTAGTGCTGGAAGTTTGGTACCGGTATTTGGGATATACCGAATACCATACCGAATTTTTTTATATTTGGTATTACCGAATACACGTATTATTTATTGGGATTGACTTTGGGATTCAATTTCAATTGTTATTCGGTATTAGGGATTACGGGATTGGGATCGGTATATACCGAAATACCGAACAATACCGAAATATAAGCTAGTGTGTATTTTATCCTCTCAACTAGACTCTTTCATTCACTACTATACTACCCTCAACCACCAATATATTGTTATTTTCATAACACCTAAAAAGAAACACTAGTATTAGTCTTCTCTCAGCCTCCAATTCGTCAAATTAAAGATTACCAATGACAAAAACTTGAGATGCACCTCTACTCCATTTTCCTTATTCATATCCTAGCTCTAGCCAAACTCAAAATTATTTGTTTAGTCTTTTTGACCTATATTAAACAATTATATATAATTTACATATTTAATTATTAATTATAAAGATACTTAATTTCGTATTCGATAATACCGATTGGGATACCGAAGTACCGATTGAGATACCGAAATATTTAGGGATCGGGATACCGAAATTATTTAGGGATTGTGATTGATTCTAGGGTGTAATTCGGTATTCAAGATTTTGATATTTGATATTGGGATACCGATACCGTACCGATTTCCACCCCGCCACCACCACTATTGTTGGTGTAAGGTTACTTAAAATTAGATTATGATACTCGTTCAAAATTATATGACGTGCCAAATCAATGAAAAGTGACCACTCCTCTTGTTTCCCGCCATCCTCCATTGAACAATTTGCCCCTCCATGTCTCCCTTCCTTTTCATTTTGATGTCGAATGCACTCACCTTCCTGATTGATAAAGCGGTTTCCCAGAACCAGCTCAAAGGTGTTAGGTTGAATGCGAGATGCCCGATTCTCACCCATTGTCTGTTTGCAGATGATACGGTGATCTTCGGAAAGGCTGAGCATCAAGAAGCGGAGAAAATACTGGACATTATAAGAGAAGATGGAGCCATCACGGGACAAGAAGTGAATATCAATAAATCGTCCATTTTCTTCAGTGCGAATGTGCCCGATGCGGACAAAGCTGCAATCATTGCTCACATCGGTTTTGCCTCCTCCAACTGCCACACCAAGTACTTAGGAGTGCCAACGGAATGGGGGAATTCAAAGAAGGAAACTTTCCAATTCCTGATTCATAGAATGGAGAAGATGGGTGAAGCATGGAAAAGCCTCCTCCTAAGTCATGGAGGGAAAGAAGTGTTGCTCAAAGCTGTCATTCAAGCTATCCCTTCCTACATCATGTACCTCTTTAACCTCCCGGTGAACCTGACAAAGAAGATGAACTCCCTCCTCACCAACTTCTTCTGGTCAGGGTCAATGCTAGAAAAACACAATGCACTGGTGTAGGAAGGAAATTCTTTGTGCTCCAAATTCAGAAGGAGGATTGGGTTTCTGAAGCTTCAAAGATTTCAACATGGCCTTATTGGCGAAACAAGCGTGGAGAATCCTTAATTCCCCGGAGGCCCTCTGGTGTAGACTCCTCAAGGGCCTTTACTTTCCAAGAGGAGAATTCAGGCAATCGAAACAAGGAAGTAGGTCCTCTTGGATCTGGGCTAGTCTGTGGGAGGCTAAAAAAGTTATCAACCTGGGAGCAATTAGAGTCATCGGATCAGGAGAGGATACTTGGGTTGGTCAAGATCCATGGATTCCGAGCCTTCATAATTTTGTCATCGGAAGCGGCCCCCAGCAGAACCTGAGGGTAAAGGAATGGATCGACCCGGTGAGTAGGAACTGGAACTCGAACCTGATTCAAGGGCATGTGACAAGAGAAGAAGGGGAGGCAATTCTTAAAGTCCCAATTGGGGAGGAGGGAACTGATGATTTTTGGGCTTGGAGTCTTACCCGGGAGGGAGATTTCTATGTCAAGACGGCCTACCACGCTGTTCATAAAGCCAACACTAGTTTCCACTCGACTGGAGGTGAAGAGAAGTGGAAATGGATTTGGGGACTGAACATCCCACCCAAACTTAAATTCTTCATTTGGAGATGTTCCAGGAACGGGTTGGCAACTAAGGCAAGGCTCTTCCAAAGGAAATGTGCTCCTAATCCGAATTGCCAAGTATGTCATAACCTTATCGAGTCCCTCAACCACTTCCTTTTCTATTGCCCTCATGCAAAAGAAGCATGGAATATCATCTTCCCATCCCTTCCGATTCCTCCTCAGGGCACATCTTTCTTTGATTGGTTCTGCTCCCTCAAAGATGGTATCCCTCAAAACTCCCTGATTCATATCATCTTCCTTTGTTGGAACATTTGGAAGGCAAGGAACGAGAGCACCTTCAAGAATCAAACCCCCTGGCCCCCAAATGTTTGTCTGCAAACCTATAGAGAACTTACGGAATGGAGTGCGTGTCCGAGGCCCCCACCTCAAGATTCTGATGGTCCCACTCAGCTCAGGGGATCCCATCCTACTACGAATCCCCCGCCAAGTAATCACTCGATAGTGATTCACTGTGATGGGTCGTTTTTTAACGACCCCCAGTCGGCGGCATATGGTGTTGTTGTCGTTAACCACCATAGACAAGTGTGTAATGGGAGAGCTGAAAATCTTATTTGTTCCACCCCGATTGAAGCGGAAGCAAAGGCTCTGTTGGAAGGAATTAAATTAGCACAAGAATATGGATCGGTCTGTACAGTGCAATCTGACTGTCAAGTGCTGGTGAAGGCCCTGAATCATAATCAGTCGCGATGGCCCTGGAGGTGTGCAGCCTGGATTAGAACAATGGTCAATATCCTTAGGACTAACCCTGCAATTTCGGTGAAAAAAGTGCCGAGGGCTTTGAACGTCAGAGCTGATTGGGTTGCACGATCAAAAGCTAAATCTTTGTTACCAGATGACTGGATTAATATTGTTGATCTAATTTCTGTTCTCCTCTAAGGAGTGTAATAGCCTTCTATCATGTTTCTTTCTTATGGTGGAATAAAAGTTGGTATTAATTGTAAAAAAAAAAATAGTTTCGTTTTGGACAGAGTTAAATTAATATGCTTTAGACAATCATGTAAGTGCAACAGCTAGCTGAAGTAAACTTTTCACCTTTTTATTTATTGAACATTATGTGGTAGCAGGTAGGTACATATAAAAAGTAACATTTCTTTTACCCCTTTTTTTTGTATTTGGTGATAATTACTAATTGTAATATAGATTGCTTCTAATTAATAATATAGATTCCCATTTTCTTCCCCATTTCGGTTGGATAAAATGCCAACCATCTCTGCTTTGCCATTGCTTCTTCCTAAATATTCCAACAACATTTCCTGTCCCAGTATCAAAGCAGAGATAGTAGGCAATTTAAACTCGAGGAAGAACATCATAACTTAAACCCAACATCTGGGAATCCTTATTCAGCTATAGAGCTAGGAAGGAGTGCAAGAAGGAAGCAGATTGTGTCCCTTTTATTAGGTCTAGGGAGGAATGATGATGGAACCCTGCTTTGCAACTCTGCTCTTTTTCGCCCGATGGGGCTCTGGAGAAGAAGACACAGAAGAAGATGCAGAGTCGTCTGAGCAATCGAAGCTGAAGCTCAAATCTATTACCCCATTGGGGCTCCCTGGAATCGAATCCAACTTCCTTCGCTTCTTCCATTGGCTTCCATTTTGGATTCCGGATGATACCAATTCCATAACCAGTTGACAGCAACCCTCTAGCTTCTCCTGTAATCACAAGGATTCACAAAATCCACTTCAGATTCTGAGATCTAAATCATTGTAAAAGACTAGATTTTCTGTTCTTTGTTATGGCTAAAATTAAAAATACCTCGCCGATTCCCAGAATGTCTAGCAACTGGTGTTGGTATTCAGCCCCAAGATATGGCTCCACGCCATTGATGACATGAAGCATTGCAGTCGCGGCCACTACAGATGGTGCATAACACAATGACCTGGAATCTGGAAGAAGAAAAAATGAACAAAAAGTCAAACAAAGAAGCAGAGTTTAATACGAGTCCACGGTGGGACTAAAAACTCTCGATTCGATTTTCCTTGCCTGAGATTACTGAGACGATTAACCGCTCGCATCGACTGACGAACTGCAAGCAGAGATAGTCCTTAATTCCCAACCGCCTCGCCATGTAATCGAGGAACGACATTGGAGTTACAGGGTTCATCCGCCATTTGAGAGCAGAGAGCACCAGAATCTCCATCCTCTGTATCGTCTTCGGCTCAAAAACATACCTACTCTCCCCAACCTGAAAAACCCACAAATGCAACTCCGATTAAGAGCGAGATAACTGTGAAATGGCAAATGGGTAGGCGAAATCGACGTTAAAATTCATACCTGTAGGTCAAGCAGAAGAGGGACGCGAGTCTCCTCAACTTTGGCGGCGACAGAGAGACAGGCGACGGCGGCGAGCTGGGTCATCCATGGCTTGTCGGCCTGAAGGTGGAAAGTGAGAAGGAATCGATCGAGGTAATTGAGAGCCAAAACAGCGGTGAGGCTCGCGAATAAGTAATGGGAATTGACGGTAAGAATCCAATCCACGGCCTCCTGGCGCGCCCTAGCCAGATTGGGACTAGATTCGAGCTCTCTGTACAATGGGTTCTCCTCTTCTTTTGCAAACAGAGCAGAAAGCTCGTCGTCTTCCCATGACAACAACAGAGACTCTTGCTCCGGGAAGCAGACAATGGGTATTTCGTTATCGTTATTTTCATAATTATCATTGTTGCAGCAGAAAGCAGAGCAAGTCTCTGGTTGTTCTTCTTCCTCTTCTAGTTCTGGTGTCAAGTCGTGGTCTTCGAGGCAGTAGAGGTAGAGTGAGTCTGGGGATGGGCTGGCCATCTTCTTCTTCTTGCGAGGAAGAGAAGAAGAGGAGGTTGTGGATCTTGGGGCATTATTTGAGGGAGAAGAGAAGGGGTGAGCTGTTTACAGGTTGAAGACGAGCCATTTTAGTTGCAGCTTTTCTTGTTGTGTCAATGGGAAAAACAGAGAGATTGGGGGAGAGGGAGAGCGGGAAGAGTGAGCAGTGAGCGAGGTCAGTGTAGATGCGAGTGTGGGAGAGAGTTTTTATCTGTGGGGTTTTGGGATTGGACATTGGAATTGTGAAGGAAAGGATTAAAGGGAGTTGCGACTGTGGGACTAAAACGATGGGTCGTCTTCTCCTCTCCACTCTCCAGCCACTCTCTCTTTTCTTTATCTTTTTATTTTTTCTTGGTGAAATTACTAATTAGCAATATCATTTGGACTTCTATCAAACCAGTTTATACCGTTGTGTCGGTTTAGCAAGTGGAATGGTTGGATTGGTGGTACAACCGGTGTGTCAGTTCATACCAGTTTAACAAAATATGTAGAAATGTGAAAACCCATTAATTGATAGAGTTAACGGAGACTGACGGCAGGTGACTAACGGTGAAACGAATTTTAAAGTTAGTGGCAAATATGAAAGAAAAGTAATTCGGGAGGCAAACGTGAAAGATTTATATAATTTGAGTGACCTAATGTGTAATTTAGCCGTTTATACTCTATAACAAGGTTATCAAACCGGTTTAAATTGTTGAGCCTATAAAGCAATGGTTTGAGGTGAATCGGTCGGGTTGAGCGTTTCACCATTTTAAGATGTTTTATACATAACTAGATAATTGACTTGCACTTCACCACAGTTTACCTAAAAATGTATATGTTAATTAGAACTGAAGAACACTTTTGTTTTAAATGAAGGTCGATGTTATTAGAGAAACGAAATAAACTTTTCAAGAGTCGTTAACCTTTGTGATACAAATATAGTTTTCGACCGAATAATTTTTTCCAAACTTCTGGACAATCATTACAAAATCTATAATGACGAAACCAAACATTGTTGGCCATCCAATCTGGTCGAACCCTGTGGGGGTTATGTCAATTGTCTGCACGGCCTGACTAACTACTTATTTCGAGCCAAGTATAACCCGAAATTGCATTGATAGTATAGTGACAACCAAGATCGTATTCCACGGGTTTTGATTTCCTAGGCTACTTCTCAAGCTGTTGTTATCTAGCCAATTGGTTTCGTTTGGTTCTCGGAGGTCAATTGTAAATACTAGTGGAGTAAGCAAGGATACAAACCAGGTACTTCGGGGTAACTGCCTCTCCCTAAACTTAGGTTCATCATGCAAATGGTTAACTATGTTGGTTTGCATGATAAGGTACGGAACTCGCTCAACTAAGGGTTTCAATGATTACTTCCCTCCTTCTTGTACAATCCCAAAGATCCAATGTTAGGGGTGTTCAAACGGATTGGTTACCGTGGTAACCATATTAACCAATAGTATTCGGTTAATTTGGTTTGGTTAATTTGAATAATTGGTTTGGTTTGGTTAAACAATTTAGCTTATTTGGTTTAGGTGGTTTGGTTTGCTTTCAACACTGCTAACCAATGAAACCAATTAACCAATTAATGATACACCTAATATACAAAATTATTTATACTTCCATGCAACCAACCAAACCAAACTTTCGTGATTCCCTATTTTATTTCCATGTGCACAACAAACCAAAACATTATGGGTCAAAAATTAAATGGGTCTGCCTATTTACTAAACCAAAACATTTTGGACATCTACTAAACTTTAGAATTACTTACAATACCATGACAGCCACCTCAAACTATGTATAGTTTGAGTGTTTTGTAGGAGAGCTTTAACTTCCTCACGAGTGGTATTTGTGTGTATTAATATTTATGTTAAGGGTTTGTTGTAAGCTAACTATAGTAGATGCAAAGATGATGAATGATGTATTAACTCGAACGATGATGATAATCATGGATGGTTAGTTTTATTATTATTGCTTATATATAATGATAGTTTATCATAGTAACAACATATGGTTATGTTTTATTCATTAACATGATAATTGTTTTCATGTAATGTAATGTTATTTGGTTAATCCGATTATCCGATTAGCCAAACCAATTAAACTTTGGTTTGGTTAATTTGGTTTTCGTGTTAATTTGGACGGTTTGGTTAAGATATTTTATTCCATGGTTAATGAAAATTAGGCTTAATTGATTTGGTTATTACCACGGTAACCATTTGAACACCCCTATCCAATGTCACCTTAGTCAAAGTTCGCGTACTAGGGATGCTCACTTAGTCCCTATCAATAGGTTTAACCAATCAAACACACTAAAGTGATGGATTGATGGCGCTTGTATCATCTCTAGCATTGCTCAGGAGAGCATTCCTCTAGCAGGAGTTCAGTTGCCGCGTCCACTAAAGGAACGCTAAGATCATTCATCTACCCCTAATTAGCCATAAGGCGCTCAAATCCAGTCTAGCTCTTAAGCTCCCACTTAGCTTGAAGACTCGGTTGTAGGCTAGAAGAGAAGAATTTGAAAGACAAGCCCCAACATAATCAAGCATAAATGAAGCATATAATCACTGAAATAAACGAATCCATACACAAAATCTAACACAATCACATATACATTAAAACCTAGTTTTAGGGTTTGGGGGTTTTAACTCCTAGTACCTTAGAGGACTACTCCATAAAGGAGGAAAGAAGATACATGTAGAGAAATAGAAGAAGATTTGAATTGAGGAGAGCTCCCTTGAGTCCCTTCCTCCTTGACTCCTCCTTCTTCTCCCCCTTCTCTTCTTCTCCTTCCTTCAAATTCTCTCTCTACTTTCTCGCTCACAAACAAAAAATTCTCAATTAGTTTCCGCTCCCAAATGAAGGGGGAGGCACCTCTATTTATATATTTCAAGGTCTCAGCCAAGTTCACAGTTGAACTGGGAAAGATCGCGGGCGCGATCTGGGAAGTGGAGATTGCGATCTTGAGCTTCATCATTTTGCACTTTGCTGGTTGGGAAGTTTGCGGCCCAACTTCACAGTTGCGATCCTTGAGCTGCGACCGGATCTTCTTCGCGGGCTCGGATTAAGAGGGTTGTGAGTCTACTATCAAGACTCTTTGCTCCTTCCTTGTTGGCTGCACCAAGAGTTTGTGCCTGAGGCCTCCAACTTCGCGTTCGTGATATTGACACTGAAGGTTGTGATCTCGATGCTCAGCTTTGCGTCCTTAGTTCCAGGTCGTGACAAATCATGGCTTGGCCATGATCTTCTATTTTTTCACATTTCTCTACACTTGTGCCCTCTTTTGGTACCTAAAACATTCATATAATCTAATATACCCTAAAATGCTAAAATTTCATCGAGTAACGATATAAGGGTATATTTGATAATATATTTACCGTGAAGACCATGAAATGACTCAAAACAAACCTAAATATGGGCCCTAAATAACATCATTTTGGGTGTTATCAACTCCCCCATATTTAGGTGTTTGCTTGTCCCCAAGCAAACCTACTCAACCAAGTACAACTTGATAACAATCAACATGATATCACTATAGTTCTTCGTTGCACTAGTTATAATAATCGGGATCGAGTGAACATTACTCTCATCTCACTGTGAAAACACAAACTCTTGGATGAGGACCTTGTCGACTAAGTAGGTCAAGACATTCAAGGTGTGCACCGGGGGACTCTAAAAAACAATAAGAGAAATGGACTCTTTGAAGGCTTCTTTATTATTTTTTTAGGTAGAATTATGGTTTTGAGTCTCCTTTTTTAAACATCGTCGCACTTGGCACCAAACATTTTCAATTTTGCAAATAGCCACTGTCCCTTGTGACCAAGAGTGAAATGAACATTGCTTCCCTATCAAGGCCCCATGTGGGGGACATGATGGCCAGATTCATTGCCCGAGCACCACTTCCCAGCATGCACTCCTCATCTCAACGACAGACGGGTTGCCAAACATGTCAGGTACAAAAGAGAGTCGAGGTCTCGTGACTCGCTTAAAGGCACACTATCTCCTCTCCATACGAGTCTGCGATGAGGAGAGGTTTTTGGGGGATGGAAGGTTGTAAAAGATCATTGAGACGCGGTAAAGGTATTAGAACCCCAAACACATCCTTAAATGGCAGTCCGAACCGAGAGAAGGGCCATTCGACGACTCAACTCAAACACTATGCTCGCTTGCCTCTCACGCTCCTCATTTTGCAAAAGATTTCTTTAAAAAGTTAAGCACATTTTGAAAACGATTTTTAGTACAAAATAGGTAGAAAGTCTCGCACACATGTCTTTACCTAAGTAGCAAACATTATCATTCACCAAAGAGGAAGATAGGAGTATAACCCCTTATACACCAAAAACTCTTGTAAATGCAAACTATTCCCTATAAACACACCATATCAACTATCTAGCAATTCAAAGCACATTATGGAGGTAGATGCTAGGGACAACATGTTTGGAACCCTTAAATTTGATTTTTTTTTTTTTTGGGTATATGATCAAGTTTCCAAACATAAATTCTAAGTCATTCAACACCACAAAACACAACTAATTGATAGCTAACACTCCCACACACAATCATCAACGTCTTACATTATAATCATAGGGAGGCTACTACCAACTATGTCAACATCATCATGAATCATTCAAACATACATACAATTTCCCCCACACTTAAGAGACACATTTTTCTCAATGTGGGAGAATAAAGGTAGGTTCATGAATCGTTACCATAGGGTGTTTTGCTAGGTTGGTGTAGGTGCACAAGTGTAGGTCTTGGTCTTCGTAGTTGGTATAGAACGATAAAGCCCATAAGCAAAAGAGAAAGTTGAAGGTTACGGGGAACAAAATAACATAGATAAATAGACATTAGGATTCAATACTACTACTAGGTAATTAAAAGCACGAGGTACATAAATAAAAAGCATAGAAAAAATACATTGTTTAAAGTTAAAATAAAGAAAAGCAAATGAATAAAAGATAGAAAATAGGCCCCAAATGTCTTGAACTTTATCCTCCTCGGAGGATTCCTCTTCAACTCTGGCTTCAAATGGTTCAGGGGATGTGAGCGAACAAATGGTGGGAAGACATCCGTTAATGTGATCTTTATATTCTTCATAATTATGCATATGCCTTAAGGTGTTGCCTTGCTTCCTTCTTTGATTTTTGAGGATTGCCGCTATCAACGCTTGGGTATGGTAATCTCTAGCTCGGTTGATCGTTGAAGTTGTCGGGTGGTAGGTAGGTTGATTTGTCTTCTCCTACCCTCATGCATTCTTCTTGTTCTTCCTCGCCATCCACGTCCATTGCATCTCTCCTTGCACATTGGTTGGTTGGCACAGAGAGATGGAAAACCGTACCATCCATATCCAATGTGTTCGTGAGTGGCAAATGAAAGCCTTGGAGTCCTCATAGACCATCATTGCTCGGGAGCAAGACCATGATCCTTGAATTTAGGGTTTCCAAGAAATAGGAGTGGTTCTAGATTCCATTCGAAATTCAATTGCCCAAAAGTCGTCTCAGAAGTAACGAACGAGTCGAGTGATATATGCTCCACTTTGTAATGCAACAAGTTGGAGATCTTTTTCATATCTCTTCACTATGGATAGAATTTCTAAACCGAAGTGTAAGGCCTAAGGAGTATACATGCTATCAAGGAATGTAATGTCTCGACAGTCAGATTAAACTTGCTCTTATACTTTCCACCCAAGGACCTATTAATCACGTGGTGGATCAACCTTTATTCCGCCTTCAACTCACTAGTCTTTGATAACTTGACATCCCATATCCGGTAGGTGGGCTCCTTGACTTCGGATTCCTAAAATTCCTTGAAGCATGGAAAATCGCTTTATCTAGGCAAGGTATCAAAGTTATCCAATAAGTCCACAAAGTTCGTTGGATATATATATATATATATATCTCTAAAACTCATATGAACTTCCGGATGTCGAACTTCTCCTTCGAGTCTAAACTCAATGTTGTTCTCTGGATCTGGAGCACCTATGAGATCTTGAATAATAAGGGTGCTAAGAAACTCCAATGCAAGCACTCTATAGATATTTTCTTCCACACTCAACAACTGCGGCTTGTTGATTCTTGCACCCCAATCTCGAGTTGGGTGAAGAGTGTCTGGTTGAGACAAGTGCTCTGGCATAAGGGAAGGTCTTGGATACATAGGAGTTTGGTGGTGAAGTGCTCCGAAATAACATCTAAAAAGACATGAGTAATATTTTCCATAGCAACTCTAGTTCCTTATGTTCCACAAGTTGATCTCCAAGAGGTTGCTCCAAAAGTGATGCTTGATGTGGAAGATGAAGTGATCATGGATTGTGATTCAAAACCATTTCCATTAATGTCCAAAGAAGAAACCAAGGCAAGAAGAAGCTGGAAATTTGGTTGTCTGGGAAACAGTTTGTGGTACCTACCTTGGAGGCTTACTCTTTTTGTTTGGGTGACATGCGAGGAAAGGTAAGAGTTGGAGATGAAAATAGAAGTGTTTGTAAGCATCGTGAACTCTTTGGATCATCGATTTGAAGATTCTTGGACACCAAATGAACATCTAGAAGATCATATGGTGATCAGTCAAAATCCATGATCAGGGAGCCAATTCCACAACCGTGGAAAAGAAGGACAGACAGTGGAATTTGGGCAGGGGAGTTCCACGGCCAGAGACCCCAAATCCACGACCGTGGAATTCAAGGGTAGACCATAGATTTGCAACTAACGAGTTGAAATTACCTTTTTGGTTTAGAATTTTGTTTCTTTTCGGTTTTTTATTTTCCCTAGACTATATAAAGGGCATGAGACACGGATTTTTGGCAGACTTTGATGAATATTGATATTTCCTTTGTTTTTGGAGCTTTAGACTTGAGAATTTTCTGCTTTGTATCAATCAAGTTTTCCCCTTGATTGTGTTTGAGCTTCTACCCTATATTGATAGAGCCTTCTCTCAAGGTTTTTTGAGATTGAACTTTCAATTCCATCCTATCCCAAACAAACAATAACCCTAAGAATATCTTTTCTTGTTCCTTCTTTAAGTTGCATTACTTTGATAACTACGGGCGTCGGTTTCGTGCTCGTATAAGAAGAGGTTCTTCAATGACAACTTTTTTGTCAGGATTTACTCTTCTTCTTTGAACAATAACGCGTGTCAGAAGAGTTGGAGTTCTCCATGGTTTGGAAATTCTCTACCCGGACCATGCCTTATGCTTGCAAGATACCCAACAAAATAAGTGTAGCACAAAAGGTGCACGAACACCATCAATCCACTCACTACTAAAATTGAACTTCTAAAGTTATCCTTAACATCATCCATGCACACCTCACACTAAAGTGAGACAATGTACAAAAAGGGAAAACATAGTTGGATAGATATAGCCTATTCAATCATAAACGACATTCATTCTCCACAAATAAGTCTAATTCATTCAGGCAAGGTTCATTCATAAGCATACATGTTTAAATGTAAAGCATAGTGTAAAAAAAAAGTTATGTGATTGGGAAATTTCTTCGAGTACTTGGTAGACGACTTTAAGAACAATTAAAAACATGCAAAATTGACCCACCAAAGTCTCGCAACTCACATAAGATATTAATAAAGCATAAACATCAATCTTATTGTTAAAATAAATCATGCCATAGCCTAAGAAAGAACCAAAGTTCATATTGCACTCAAACATCTGACCTTGCTAGCTAAGGTACCAAAGTGATAGAAAATGGAAAATAGTACCTTAGTTTGCTTGGGTACGTGATATTAATCCAAGAGATTAAACAATACTTCAATAATGGTAATTAACAAATAAAGTGAAATGAAGTATGGTCAAAACATGTTCAAAATAGCTTGGGGAACATGGTATTTGGGATTTGAAATTTTTTGGGGAAGAGAGAACATGAATAAAGAGGGCACTTCCCCTTAAATAGGCGCGGGTAAGATCGCGGCCTGGGGTCATTGATCTCGGCCGCGATCTTTGGCTTCGCAACCGTGATCTTACCCTTTCCAGGCAAATATCATTTATCACCACACCTAAGGATTACAAACATCTAAATGCAACAGTCATTCAAATAATTGAAACTTGGCAATGCTAAGGTTCTATCATTCATCATCTAAGCTAATCATTTTCTAACTTTAACAACTTATTCAAAAGAAAAGAAAAAGATACGCAAACCAAAATTTTTGGGTTGCCTCACAACTAACGCGTGTTTGAAGTCTTTTCGCCGGACTTTCCTTTGAGAGAGCTAAGTGAGAGGAGCTTCATCCTCCACCCTTGATAGTTCGTAGTAATCAAACTTGTGATGAAGTCCAAGGTGGACACCATGAAGTCTCTCGGCCTCCTCGTCCGTTGCTAGTGACTCAAAGCATTGCTCGAACGGTTGATGATAATATTAGCACTCTGAAACCAAGCTTGCTTACTCCAAAATCTTCATCCCTGTGTGGCTTGTAGCACTCCCGGATTCTTCATTTTCCTCAATGGAAATTAGTTTGGTTTCATCGTTCTTCTTTATTTTATCCCTCATTTTGGCCTTAGGATACCTTGCTTCAAGTTCGAATTTCTGAACTTTCCTTAATTCTAACTTGTCATGATGGGAGATGATGAGTAACTCTTGCATCTTCTTGTTGTGGGGAGAACTAGGCTCTCCCAACTTTTCCATTGGCTTCCTTGAGTTATCCTTCCTTTTCATTCTTTGTATCCTTTGTATCTTAATGAGGCAACATATTGAACCATTCAATTTCGCGATTAGAAGGTAGTGTGAGTGGATCACAATTTTTCTCCACATCTTTCCATTTGTAATACTTGTGGAATTGAGAAGTTGAGTCATTTTGTATCGGATCTCTCCTCCTCGCCAAATCTTGGTATGATTGAGCGTGTCAATCTAGTTGGGTGAGATGTTTTACATTAATTCAATGATAAGCAAGGACAATCCCCCCCCCCCCCCCCCCCCCCCCCCCCCCCCCCCCCCCCCCTTAAAGACCAAGGACAATCCAGAGTTGACCTTACTTCTTACTTGCCCCTATAACTTTCACTACTCCACATTCGTACTACTGCTTCATTTCCCTTCTCTTGTCGATTTAGCTTACCAAAGCAGACAAAAGTAGCAAAAAAGTCCATGGTGGGCAGCTGCTCCTGATCGATGGTCGACGCAATTTCTTTGTAATTCGTTTACCGTATTACTCAAAACTTACTGGTCTTCTTGTTTGGTGGTTTACTATACAGTAGTACTGGGGCTTCATGTTCATTCCCCATCGGCCCTTTTTCCAGTTTTGGGTTTCAATATTCAAACTAACAGGTATCGGCCACTGAATTTCAGTGTGTGATGTTCGGATGTACAAATTTTGAAGGTGATGGCAACTGATAATCTGATTGAACATGTTAAAGATCATAGTGGGCTATTGGTTCCAATTCGGTGAATATGCTGAAAAGTGTGGCTGTTCATATGGGTTGACATCGTGGTTTGGACTGAGAATTTAGTTGTTTGGGCATATATGTTACTAGGTGGAGATGCCGCGCCTTGGTGCGGGGAAGATGGCGTATGTGCATGTATTATGTGACCCGTAATGGTGTTTTGTAAGTATTATTAGTCTAAAATTAATTTTTTGGTAGCATTTTCGTTAGTAATATTGACTTGACAATATGATATTGACTATGAAGAGATATATGGCGGTCAACATCCTATTTAAAAAAATTTGAAACTTTTGGCTAATAAATGATATTTACCCAAACCCAAGTAGAACCATTGATTATGTAAGGTATGAGTTACGTATATATGGGGTTAGAAGTTTGTAGATAGGTTTGGGTAGGGTGTGGATATTTACTTCCATAATCTAAATGTGTATGAGTTGGGTATGGATACCCATTTATTCGAGGGTGTTTTAATTACACATACAAAAATTAGACCTATTTGTAGAGCTTCAAAAGTTTAGGTACCAAAATGTAATACTAAAAATTTTAGGTACTAAAATGTAATGTTCTATCAATATTTTGAGGACTTATATGCCAAAAAAATAAATATATGTTATAAATGTAAAGATCTATTAAGTTAAGATACCGAACTTTAATTTGCATAGTTGGGGTCTAATTCCTTTTATTGTGATTTATTTATGATGATAATTATTTATTTATTTACAGAAAAATGGAAACTATTTATTTGATATGTGTAGAAGCCTAACCAAACATTTAATGTATAATTGTAGAAAATTCTAGCCCGGATGAAAAAGAAAAATTCTAAAGAGAAGCAAAATGAATACAAACTGTAACTCGATTAAAATTTCACGCCTTCAAATACCATATTGGAAAATGACGAATTTCTAATAAGTAACAATCATATATATATATATATATATATATATATATATATATATTTTTACTTGAACTCGACATTGATTCAATTATTAATTCTCTAGATAGTTGGTGAGTCGTGTATGGACCCATACTTGTGATTATAATACATAAAAATAGTATACTAATTAGGATTAGACAAAGAAAGCAAAGAAATAAATAAAGAAAGGGTTATGGAAGGTGAATGAAAAATGAAACGAAGAGGAAGTAGATGATGGAAAAGTTTTGACCAATTCTTTAGTATGCCGTCAATACAATAGTCAACCATTTTCACCGTAACAATTTATTGACACTTGCTTATTTAGATGTCTAGGGGTGTGCAATGGATCAGACCGACTATAATGCTGTCCGGTCCTTGGTCCACATGAATTTTGCAATTACTGAAGAAATGATGGACCGAACTAATATTTGGATCGGACCGAACAACCAAATAGACCGAATGCAATGATGGTTCTGTCTAAGTCCAAAACAAACTGAACCGAACCAAATGGACCGAATGCAATGATGGTCCTGTCTAAGTCCAAAATGAACCGAACTGTTGCACACCCCTATAGATGTCGCATATTTTGTTACATGTAGTTAGTAGAAGTTTGTTTAGTACCCCGTAAATGTATTAAATGATTTTATAAATTCGCTCTTACAATATTTTAGAGTTGTCTCTATTTTATCATTTATTTAATGTTTCACGTAATGAGCAATTATAAAATGGTCGAATCTTCTTCTACAACTGAGTGATACAACATCTTGTATGATACAAACTAAATTTATACTTTTATGTTATGATGGATTGGTTCAAAAGAATTGGTGGATTGGATTCATAGATTCAAGTGAAATATAGAGATTGGACCAATATGTAAATTTAAAAAATTGTATGTACTACATTCTCATAAAATTTAGTTACAAAAATATAATTATCAATAATTTTACGTTAAAATTAAATTTGAAGTATCAAAATGTAAAATGTTATAGTAATCAATTTGTAATTTATTAAGCAACAGTAAAACTACTTCAGCTTTATATATAAAAATGTGTATCTAAAATGACTGAGATAAAAGTGATACACGATTCGATGGTGCTAAAAATTTTCATTTTTTCCTGATAAATTTTGCATTTACAGTTAATGTGTACTACTCTATTCATATCACGAAAGACTAAGTGGTCGTTTGTTTCGTGGATTTGGATGATAGATTTGGTTACCAAATTCATTTCATCATGGATTTAAGTAATTGTTTGTTTGCGTATCATTTAGGGACCAAATTCGTGGGGGCCATGGATTTTAAGGGTCCAAATTCGTGGATCCCACGGACTTGTAAATACCACATATTGATGTGGAATTTGTAGCATACCATAAACCCATGATGAGATTTTACCCATATACTCTCATAAACTTTTAAAACTCCAAATTTGTCCTCCCATTTACCTATTGTACATTATAAATAATTAATTATTTAACAACAAAGAAATAATATAAATATTCAATTAATGTGTAAGCATGAGTTAGATTTTTTATGCAATTTCTTGTGTTCTAGTTTCTTTTGATCTTTTCATGGAATGTGTAATTCTTTGCTCTCCAGTTCTAATATATGTTGCTATATGTTGCTTTTTAAAAGGAGGACAAGGAATTGGTAACCGATAATTCCTCGAATTTTAGGGGGATGGGAATTGTAATTCTTTCTACTTCTCGGGGTAAACATAATTTTCACATTTATTATTATTGTCCTTGTGACAACATTATGTATAGTTCTTGTTTTGTGTATATATCATAAACATGACAAACAAATAGAAAATGATAGTATGGTAATTTTGGACTTTAAGTTCTATATCCCAAACTCTTAAATCCATGATAAAACATCTCAACAAACAAAGGATTGTTACAAATTCATAATGCCTCAAAACCTTGATAAATCCTTGGGTTTTTAAATTACAAAATCCTCATTTTTAAATCCATCACCCTAAACTCTTTGATACTTGTAACTTAATAAAATTCACAGTAAGAATTAACGTGCATTTTAGAATTTGCAGATATAATTTCCTTTTGATAAACCACATAATAATTGATCTCGTTAAATGTATGATTTTTTCATATTTCCTTTCATTACCGTGTAATTTGATAATCCAAATCATTCACAAACAGACAAACTGATTTCGCAGTTTGCCTATTTGCAAGGCAATCTAGTAAATAACCGATGAGCACATTGGGATTCAACTGAGTATTTTTTTGATAATGGTGATATTAAAAGAAACGAAAAGAATGTACAAATAAGGGAGATCACAAGGACTGATCTCACGTAGCGGGAAGCAAAAACAAAAGTCAGAAAAAAGAAATAGCAAAAAAAACAAGAGGGACACACCCCCAAGCACTCTCAAGCGAGTACCGACCGAAGCCGATTCGCGACACCAAAGTTCTCTTCAAACACCCGCTAATTTCTTTCCAACCACATAGACCACCAAACCGCATGAACAATACAAAACTTGAACCAACCATCAACGCTGTCTGGCAAAGAGTGTGGACAGTTTTTTATTATCGAGGTTATGTTCCCCCTTTGCGATGGTAATCCATTCCTGGAACAGCTTATATGACGCCAAACCTTTTCGATGAACTGACATTCCACAAACAAATGATACACAGACTCTTCTAGGATGTAGCATAGACAACATCTATTCACCAATGATCCCCCTTTCTTCTTCAAATTGTCCACTGTGTGTATCCTGTTATGATAAACTAACCATAAGAAAAAACAAACTTTGCTCAGAATCACATTCTTCCAAACTTGCTTGGTTGGGAAATCATTCGAACCTTGTTGAACATCCTTAACTATATTCCTGTAGCACGAACTCACAGAGAACTTTCCTTTCGGTACAGGATTCTAAATAATTCTACAAGGGTTGCACGCCTTATCCAACAAATCAAGAGAATTAAGTAAATGCATTAAATCCAATCTCTCCCTCTCCGCGCCCCCTCTCAAAGAATTTAAGGTTAAGAGACCAAAGAATACACTAGTCATTGAAGAATGCCACGTCGGAAATTTTTGCTTCAGAGTCAGTAGCAGCAGCGGCGACACGAGGGAACGAGGTAGCCAACTGAGTATTGAATCCTTCAAGTTTCCAATTAGCAAGGAGTTCTGGCACCAAAATTCAAACACACAGTAGTATTGCATCATTACACAGGCCATGCTACAGTGACTAAAACAGGTTATGCTAGATGGATAGGTTTGTGTTAGTTGCTGGGTTATATGAAGCAAAGAGATGAGGAAGAAGTGGAAGGTGGGGCACTTTGTGGACATGGAAAAGAAAAAGGAAGCAGAAAAGAAGAAGATGAAGGGCTTCCAAAACTCTAATCCTACGAAGGAACCAAGCAAACTATTCGTTTTGCTCTTCTTTCTTTTTTCTTTGTGGCCTTTGGTTTTTAAGTCGAAACGAAACACCCTTTTTCTTTTGGCTTTGAGAAAGAGGGCAGGGAAACTCCAATGCTCTATCAAATCATACAACAATCGCTTGATTCCTTCCCTGAGGTGTCTTTTGTGTAGATTTGTTGAGTCATTTACTTTGCACTAACTGTATAGTTCAGTACTACTGACTATACAGTTCAGGTTTTTCATTTTTGTGCAATAACAGCAGTACCCTTTGATTGCATTTGATGAAACGTAACAAAGTTTGCTCATTTGCGTGCATGCTGCCCTGCCTGCTCCTCGTGCACGCTCGCTTTGACCATAAACCCTCCCTAGCTAACCAAAGTAAAAATTGCTTGTAGAAAGACATAATGATCCCCAAGACGCATTTTGATCATTGATATTCAGTGATGTCCCAATCCTAACAAGAATGCCACTTAAGAAAGAGCTAATTAGTTAAGGATATGGTGGATTGTTTCTGGTGTAAAAAAGGTTGCTCTTCGGCGGGGAAGCTAATGATGCATGGTTTTGACTGGCGCCCCGACTATAACCCTTTACAGCTTTTGATGAGAGGAGCAGAGGAAATCATTGTTCTTGTTCTCATGTCATTCTTCTTTTCCAATACCCTCTTGCCTGCTTTCCCTTTTTCCTCTCTGTTATTGTATGAACAACAGAACAGAGCCAACAAAACAGCTGCCTGCCACCTTCACTTTAGTAATGTAGTAGATCCCAAAACTAGCTAAAAACAAAACGAGATATATACAAGGCAGAGTGTGTCATGAAGGGGAAAAACAGCTTTTGATTTCTGCACAAGCAAAGTGAGAGACAAACAGATATGCATAGGTCAACAAAAGTAGGGTATAGTTCATTTCAATCAATTTTTCTCCACTCCTATCTCTCTTTTCCTTCTTCTTCTTCTTCAATTGGTCAAGGAATATCTACCACATTTTGACAAACATGGCCTTGACCTGGTGTTAAGGGCAGGTTGCCCTTAAAGAACAACAGCCCAACCAACTGACAATTACTCCTTTGTCCCCTAGCTAAAGACTAAGTCACAACCCCTTAATTTACAAAATCACATCACGCTCATGATGTCCAGTAAACAAACATAGTAGCAGTTGCAGCAAAGAACCTTGATTAGCTCCCGCGTTTGAGATGTCCTTGAATGAACCTCTCTGCGTGGTTTGGATACTTGTTTCGGATGTATTCCCGCAGGCACTTCTGATACGAGAAGTCTATCCAAGCACCGTCGGTTCTCACCACAAACAGGCACCTCGAGTGTTTGAACTGTGGATGTCGATCAACCTACAACACAAGATCGAAGAGCTTTGTTAACTTGGACATGCAATGTTATTGTTGAACTTATTCTTGCAATCACTAGTTACAATATGGAAAGTGGAGTTAAGTTTCACAGCCAGCAGTGAGCACTCGATCCAACAACTAAATGTCAGCCGTTTGCAATCATGTAGGTGGGTTTTGACATACTTTAGAGGTAGGAGAACTGGAGAAGGTCGGCCAGAGAATACAAGAGATGATTCCATACGGAAAAGAAGAAGAAAAAAAGATAAAGCAGGGGTGGTACGGGTACCAGTCAAAAGGTTTCATCTATCAGTACAGAAGTCTGGCCCGAAAAATCCCCCAAGAAGTTCCAAGCAAAGGGTGCATGCATGTGAAGAAAACAAACAAAGAAGTGACATGTATCTATCAACTACCGGCAGGGCCTGTCTAAGGATTCAAAGGGATTAAATGAAGAATTGAAGACCAAACCATGAGATGACCACAAATGGGAGACAGCAATGCAACAGAAACAAACAAAAGGGGAAAAAATGTCAAGCCAGTAGAATCAATTCAAGTTATCAACCAAATTTGCCTAGATTGACATTTGGCGTCAGCCCAACAAAATCTCCACAGCGGAAGCTGTCTCAAGTTCTAACTTCTAACCCGAAAATAGCCATTTTCAGAAAACAACATGCATGGCTGAAGTGATTACAGTAGTGACTAAGAAACACATTCGCTAAATCACAAGAGTTGTCTACTACTATCAAAACATTATTAGTCCCTAGTAGCGAAAAACAATAACTGGGAGTCTTGCATCTGTTTGCATGTTCGAGTAATAGAGCAACTTGAAAATTCAGTAGGGTGAAACAACAACGTAATACGATCTGGAGGACGAGCAACCAGTGCATTGGTGAAGCAAAATGAAGATTAGATTCTGAACTATGGATCATGGAGCTGCCCAAGGCCTAGAATTGTGGCGCTGGGTTGCCTCTAAAAGCCCATTACACCAGTCGAAACAGATAATAAAGCCCATCAGTAATATTATCATCTCACCTTATGGTAGACCCAGCCCACGCAAAATTTCTATGGCCAATGAAGGCCCTGTTCACTTCCGTTTTCGTTTCCTGTTTTCTGTTTTCATGTGATAAATTTGGCAACCGAAATGAGAAAACTTGTTTACTTTTCATTCTGTTTTCTATTCGTTTCCAACTATGAAAACAGAAAGTGGCAACTTCCTGCTGTTTTGGGAAACGACAAAATGTTGTTTTCACCTGTTTTCAACATCTGTTTTCTCAAAAACAGGAAACAGAAATGAAAATAAACAGGCCAGAAGAGTATTGCCGATAAAATCCCCCAGCGGCAACAAACAAGCAACCATCTCTCTAAAGGAAGTACTTAGGAGATAGGATATAGGGATTCGACAGTCAGCTGTAATTGTCTCGGCTACCAGAGCTTATCAAAGTATCACCAACGTTATCTAACAAGAACTCCGTTATTCCTATGAGTTCAAGACTGTTCACGCTCATTTACGCAATTCATGTCATTCTGTTTTCTTTCTTCTGCTTCTAGAGACAACATTGCTACAATGCCATACGTCTTGACACTAATCAGTAAAGAGTCTCAAAGTTCACTAGACATGAAAAGGCTAGTATCCAAGGAGTAACCAAATTGGCTCACAGTGAGTACGAAACAGTGATGATCTAAACACTATCTTCATGCAACAATTTGATACCAGAAGCTAAGAATAGTTTGTAAACACAATCAAATAAATCAAGCCGAGAGATATGATCAACTGTCCATAGCCATCTCTGAAGTCTGAGCCACAGAGCTAGAACACGTAATGACACATAAAGCAAGTGCAAGAGACATTGGAGGCTCAAACTTTTTGAACATGGCAACAACCAACTGGGTTCCTTGACAAACTAAAAAGATATCTAATTTATGCAAAACCAAAACAGGTAGCACCACAAGAAGCTTTATGTAGTTCTATGGAGGGCAAAGCTAAGTTCTGAAGATATTGCAGTTTCTATCCTTTGTATAATGCAGACAATGTAATGCCTCAGAGATTATGATGGAGAGAATCAAGCACACAAAAAACTTACCATAACCGAATCGAGCCCACATCCAATTTTGTCTTCGGAATTCGGATGATAAGCGAGAAGTTTCTCCACCACAGCCTTCTCGTCTTCAGCTTCCAGCTGCCCTCCATCCATATATCTGAAAAGTGTTTCCAAGAAAATGAACACTTGAAAGAAAGCAAGAGGGCACAAAACACAATTAGGCAACTTCTCCCTTATCGTTACTCTGTCAGCAACAGTGGGAGTTACTCATAAACGAACATAGATTCACTTTTTGTCTTACATGTCAAACTAACATTCACCAGTTTCTCTAAGCTGGAATCAATGGCACCGCGACTAATCATCGATTAGATTCCCAATTAGAAGGCAGAGGATAATATCAGTACATACCTGTCCGAGTGAAGAATGTCTTTGACAAGATAAGTTATGGACGAGATGTCGGCCAAAATCTCGTCCTCTTTTTCTTTCCACTTCCGGTAATCAGGATCGTGGACGCTGAAGTATTTGGTCCGGTCCGGAGCTCTCGAGAGGTCGCTGGTCTTCTCCGCGTCGGAGACCTCGTCGTCGAGCCGGGTCGAATCGGCAGCGGTAGAGCACCACGTCCGGCGCAGCGGCGGGAGAGTAGCGACTGCGAGGCAATGGTATTGGAGGCGGAGTCGCAGGAGCGGAGCGTTCCTGAGAAGCAGCGATGCCGCCATTTTGGGGCTCTTCGAGTTGGACAGGGAAAATGGAGGGTAACCCAAACCGCCCAGTGCTTCAGAATCAGAGGTAACTAAACTAGGTAAGGTGGGCAGTGGGTTTGGTAAATTACATTCTTGATCCCTGAACTTTATAGTCATTGACTCATTGTGCAGTTGACAGCTCAATTGTTTTTGGGATGAAATGAAGTGTTTGGCAAATCTTGCAGCTGTAAAACCATATCCAACAAGAATGGAGGCTCCAGCCCAGGCCCAACGGTGGTGGGTTTCTCTTAACTCATATGCACAGAGCTCATGCCCTAATATATGTAACAAGATTCATTGGAGGCATGCCGCATGCATACCCATCTCTATGCATCATGCTTCATTCATACATTTTCTTGAGTGAAAAAAGTCAACAATATGAAAAGATTTTCCCTGAGACATGAATCCTTGAGTTCCTCGATACAACTAAGAGGGCTGCTACTATCACATTGGCAACGAACTATAGAGTTTATAAAATGGACTGTGTCTAGTTATACAACATTCCTACCCAAAGTTCATACTTGTTTTATAGAAATGGATTATATTTTCGAATTCAGGATGTTGAATTGTGTCTTATAAGTTATAAACATAGCCCAAGATAGGTTGCTTGCTGAACGTAGGCTCATCGTGTTGAATGAGAATTTCAAACCTCTTTGGCTTATTTGGGACCCTTCTAAATTCTTGGTGATTTTGCCTTGTGCTACCTAAACATATTTGGCAACCACATCTTTGTGCAACCTGCTCATACTAATGGTCTCTAGTTGCTACAAACTACATTCCTGACAAGGTCAAATGAACTGGATCGCAGTATATTGACAACAAATTATAAATATCCAATCCACATATCTCTAAATTTACTAGTACTCACCTTCAGTCTATTATCCAGCCAGTTCAGGTTCATAAACTTTTACTTAAAAGGAATCTATCCTTAACTAAGACAACCAACCAAGGCAATTTGATATGGATAGGGGAGTTCAAATGGTTACCGTGGTAATAACCAAACCAATTAAGTCTAAATTTTATTAACCATGGAATAAAATGTCTTAACCAAACCGTCCAAATTAATACGAAAACCAAATTAACCAAACCAAAGTTTAATTGGTTTGGTTAATCGGATAATTGGATTAACCAAATAACATTATATTACATGAAAACAATTATCATGTTAATGAGTAAAACATAACCATATGTTATTACTATCATAAAATATCATTATATATAAGCAGTAATAATAAGACTAACCATCCATGATTATCATCATCATTTGAGCCAATACATCATTCATCAACTCTGCACCTATTAGCTTACAACAAACCTTTAACATAAATATTTAATACATACCAATACCACTCATTAGGAAGTTAAAGCTCTCCTACAAAATAATTAAACTATACATAGTTTGATGTGGCTGTCATGGTATTGTATGTAATCCTAAAGTCTAGTAGTTGTCCAAAATATTTTGGTTTAGTAAATAAGCATGCCCATTTAATTTTTGAGCCATAATGTTTTGGGTTTGTTGTGCACATGGAAATAAAATAGGGAATCACGAAAGTTTGGTTTGGTTGGTTGCATGGAAGCATAAATAATTTTGCATATTAGGTGTATCATTAATTGGTTAATTGGTTTCATTGGTTAGCAGTGTTGAAACCAAACCAAACCAATTATCCAAATTAACCAAACCAAATTAACTGGATACTACCGATTAATATGTTTACCACGGTAACCAATCCGTTTGAACACCCCTAGATATGGACTCCCTCTGTTGGATTGATACCCAATACAAACAATAAATAGACTCGTTTTCGTGCAGTTGATTCCCTACCTCCTATCAATGTTTTCTCTATTCAACCTAATTAGATGTTATCTCTCTTAAGTCAAAGCAGAAATTATCAATACTTGATCAGTTGATCAGGAGAAAGATAATTCAATGAATACGCATCGGTTAGATATACACTATGAGTTCAATAAGCCAAAGCATCCATACAATCATCTATTCAGAAAATCATGACTAAGGTTCCTCATACCCAAGTAAAAAGAGTTTACTCCACACAAAGAGAAAAAATACATAAGAAAGGAAAGACTGACATCGTGATGGTGGAAATCATATCGTGATCTTCAATCTCCTCTTCTAAGCTTGTTCTCGAGCTCCGGTTAGGGTTGCTAATCGGTCGGTTATCGGTATAATCGGTTACCAGTATATCAAAACTGGTCAATTGACTGCCGTCTACCGAAATCGGTTGCCATTCGGTTAACCGGTTACCGACTATTTGGTAATCGGTTAACTACCGGTTAACCCGAACAACCAAAGAAGGGGAAAATGGGCGGAGGTTCTTGGATGGTTTTCACCGGGCCATTGCATCCACCGCTCCTACGACTCCGTCAACTTCCCCGGCGGCGGCGTCTCTAGCAGATCTAACTGGCAAAGCTCCTCCGCTATCCTGTCCAGCAAAGTCGTCGCTTTTCGATATCATATCTAGAGGGTTCACAAGACCATTGCCCAGGATTTGGTCACATTCGGTAAGATTGCAGGCAACCGTCGGTGATGAAGGAAACCACGACAACTGGGCGGTGCGGCAACAGATCGACTCAGCTAAAGGCGAGTCGGCGAGATCTGCAAACCAACGGAAGAAAACAAATCGGCTTCTTGCCTGTAATCACCTCGATCCAGGAGAAATCAACCACTTGGGTTCAGAAGTCGCTGTTGCCTAGAAAAGCACATCTCGATTCGTGATTGAGGAGGGGGGAGGGGAAAATGGGATTGCCGATTGGTGAGAAAAAGTTTATCGTGGGGAAGAAGAAAGAGAAGTGGGGTGGGGATGGAAGAAAGCTGTGCACATGGAGGAATTGATGGGTGGGAGAGATGTTTAGGTTGAGAGCGTTGATCGGTCGGGGTGGGGAAGAAAGAAAGAGAAATGGGATGGGGAGGAAGAAGGAAATAAGGGGTTGCGCAGGGAGAGGGATGGGGAAGGAAAGAGGGCGTTTGGTTGGGAAGGAAAACAGAGAGAAAGAGGAAGGTTTTCGGGAGGGAGGGTGCACGGAAGCATGGTGATTTGCGGTATTCGGGTTACCAGATAACCGCCGATATGCCGTTTTGACTATTTTTTGCCGTATGCCGATACCGTCGGTTACCGGTTATACTGTTAATCGCCGGTTAACAATTCGGTAAACGGTTAACCGGTAACCAGATAAGCAAATACCACCCCTAGCTTCGATGGTGAAGATATCGCCCAAAATTGCTTGGATAGCTATCAAAATCAAAATTCAATGATCAACCAAATTTGTAACATTTTGTCTGCTTCCATATTCAACTTCATTAGGATCCTTGTTAATAAATGTTGGTCTAAGTACAACAAACACTTTCCTAGAGTTGAGAACAAAGGATCATTTGGTTTGCTAGTAATATTGATCTCGATACATTTCTCCAGACACTCGATTATTTGGACTTTTTATGCATTGTAACCTTATACTTCTAAATTTGTTCTTAGATTCTTGGATCTTACATGTTTGATACGAGGAATAAATATTCCTCGCAACATATTCCACTTTGTGAGTTCTAGTAAGTGGTAACCACAAATATCACCAGTTTATGTGAATATCGTAACCCACTTACTAATTTGTACAAGAATAAGAGACCAAAGACTAATGAGAGTAACAATCTTTCGGTTTTCAAGATTTTTGTCAATTCATATATATTATAAGACTATTAAGAGTTAGAACATGTGTATGATCATGACTAGTGATGTTCAGGTAATTAGTACCTTTTGTTGCACAAAACGGTGTCATTGCCCATACGCAAAATGGTGTCACTTCCAACAATCACAACTCTAGCATGAAACGATGTCGTGTTGGGATTTCTTCCTTTGAAGTCTTCTTCTCCCAATCTCGCATACTCCTCGTACAACGATCTTTTTCCTGGCTCTCCCTCACAAGAAACCACGACAGCTTTCTCGAGTCTGCCTGAATCGCCACCGCCTCGCACAATGATGAAAGCTATGGGGATGCTCTTTAGGAAACAGTCACCTTCTTCCCTCCTATTATAAATTATGATCTCCTACCTCTAATTAGAACTTGGCAGTCTGTAACGAGAGTGATAGATAATAAACTCCTCTACTTTGGGTCCATTTGTTTAGCTACTTCAGTTGATTAAATCACAGTGTCTGAGTGTGTACTGGGTGATTTGAATCTTGGGAAGTAGAAGTGTTGAGTGTTTTTGTTTAAAGAGCCAAGTCAATTGGCTTGGCTAGGGTCTTCTTTGTATCTGTGTACTTTCAGTTCAAATTCAATAAAAATTACTTTCCTTTATGAAATTGTTCAATTTAGAGAGTTTGAACTAGAGTTTTCCTTGAGCTCTTCCTCCCATTATGATTTCACAATTGGTATCAGAGCACGCTCTTTGAATGGATTAACAATCGCCAAAGAGAAAACTGAAGGGATGTCTAGGTCTTCATCAGCATCTGCTTCATACTCAGCCAGCACCAATCCTCCATGGTTCGATGGCACAGACTATACTGTCTGGAAAAAGAGAATGAAGATCTATCTTCGAGGAGTAGATGGAGACTTATGGGGAATACTCAGAAAAGGTCCAATTCCAATGAATGATGATGAAGAAGAAAAATGGGATGATGAGCAGAATGTTTCATCTCAGTTGGATTCAAGAGCAATGCACATCCTGTACTCAGCACTTTGCCCTGAGGAAAGAAGTCAAGTGGCACAGTGTGAAACTGCCAAGGAGATTTGGTAGTCTCTTCAGACTACCCACGAAGGTACGTCAGAGGTAAAGGAAAGCAGAATTGATGTTCTCTTAAACGAATATGAATCTTTTGAAATGAGTACAAGTGAATCTATTACCAGTATGTATAAAAGATTTAATGACCTGATAAATAGGTTAAAAGGTCTAAGTAAAACCTTTGCTACAAAAGATCTTGTTAGAAAAATTCTAAGAAGTCTTCCTCGTGAATGGTTACCCAAACGAATTGCTATAGAAGAAGCTAAAGATCTAAACGTTTGTCAATTGAAAGACTTGTTGGTTCGTTATTGAGTCATGAAGAAGTTATTATCCAAATGAACAAAGAAGATAATAGGCGAAAGAAAGTTATAGCATTTAAACCTCAAGAATATGATAGTGATATAGACTATGACATAAGTGAAGAATTTGAGAAGGAATTCGCACTTGTAAGTAAGAAGTTTCATCGCATGTTGAAAATGAAAAGAGACTTTTAAGAAAATAGAGCCTTTAATGATACAAGAAATTTCAGTAATAGAATGTGTGAATATAAAAGGGACATAGATGGTTTTGAACAATTTCCTCCCAGGCAGGTTGACAAAATATGTCAAACGGATTCTACTATGAAAGGAGTATTCAAAGATCCACAGAAAGGCCTTATGAAGGACGAGAAAGGTTTAGATCAGACACCAAGGAAGACCATAGGTCTTTCGGAGAAAAAAATCTAACTATTTGCTTTAAGTGTGGAAAAATAGGACATATGCGCTCTAAATTCCCCTTGAACTCTAAATCTCAAGAAAAGGCGCTCACTGCTTCATGGAGTGATTTCAGTTCTGAAGAAGAACAAGAAATAAAAAATCTTGCATACATGGCATTTGCATCCAAAGGTGAAAGCGACTGCCAATCCTCCAGCAGTGATGATCAACTACTCCTTCATGCTATCAGGTAATCACTGATTCAGATTAAAAAAAGAATAATGCCTTTGAACCAAACACTGAGTTCCTTCATGCTTTAACAAATCTACAAGATGAATGTAATTGACTCAAGAGTAAGTACTGTTTGCTTATGACTGATAATCAAGCCTTGAAAAAGGAAATTCTCACATTAAATAGATCCTTGTGCATTCAAAATGAATGTCATGAAAGATTAAACAAACAGAATTTTTTATCTTAAGAATGAAAATCAAAGGTTAAATGATTTATATAGAACAAAATCTGTTCATTTTGCGCAGAATCATAATATATATAAATCAAGTTCAAACATCAAAGTTTCTCCTCATAGATACACCACTAGGCACTACAGAAACAATTATTCAGAGGATGAAAAGTACAAGAAATACCCTGTAATTTTCACATGTTCCTATTGTAAAAGAAGTGGGCACTTGGCAAAATTCTGCTATGATTTGCATAACCTAAGAAAACCTGTTGTATCCAAAACATTTTGGGTACCAAAATGTACTAACTTGTGATTGATTGCAGAGTTTGGGAGAGAATGAAAACTTTTGGTTTTTGGACAGTGGTTGTTCCCACCACATGACAGGAAAAAATGAATTGTTTTCTTTTTTAAATTACAAAAAGGGTGGTAAAGTGGTATTTTGAGATGATCGAGTATGAATAATTATGGTAAACGACACAATTGGTAAGAGTTCGCTCCCTATCGTCAAAGATGTATTGTTTGTTAAAGGTTTAAAACATAATCTTCTTTCCATAAGTCAACTTTGTAGCACTAATAACAGAGTAGTATTTGAATCTTCTTCTTGTCAAATCATCAGAATAAAGATAACAAACTGTTATTTAGTGGAACTAAGAAAAATAATATGTATGTTGTTGATCTAAACTGTCTAAACACTTTTAATGAGACTTGCTTTCAAGCTAAATTACATTATCTTGAAATGCTCTGGCATAGAAAATTGGGACATATATGTCTTTCGAAACTGTCAAAGCTATCAAAGATGAAATCAACAAGAGGAATTCATGTTTTAAAAGAAAACTCCAAGTTCTTCTGTGATGCTTGTGTTGGTGGTAAACTAGCCAAAAAGAGTTTCAAGTCAAAAAGGGATATAACCACTACTGAACCTTATGAGCTGATTCATATGGATCTTTTTGGACCTACTAATGTGGTAAGTCTTGGAGGTAAGTCCTATGCTTTTGTGCTGGTTAATGATTTCTCTAGGTACACATGAGTTTATTTGATGGCTTCTAAGGATGAAGCTTTTGCTTGTTTCAAAACTTTTGTGAATCTTATATTAAATGAGTCCAAGAAAGGTATTAAGTTGATTTGAAGTGATTATGGGGGTGAATTTATCTCTGAACAGTTTAGTGATCTATGTAATGATAAGGGAATAAATCACACTTTCTCTGCACCTAGAACACCTCAACAAAACGGTGTTGTGGAAAGAAAGAATAGAACCATAATTGAGACATCTAAAACATGGTACTCCTAAATTTCTCTGGGGAGAAGCTGTCATGACTGCTGTCTATGTAATAAATAGAGTACTAATCAGAAAAACCATAAATAAAACACGCTATGAAATTTTGAAACAGAAAACACCAAATTTGGGGTACTTTCATCCCTTTGGGTGTAAATGTTTCATTCTGAACACCAAAGATCATTTATATAAGTTTGATGCTAAATCTGATCAGGCCATATTCCTGGGATACTCCACTAAAGGTCAAGCCTACAGAATATACAATCTCAGGTCTAAAAGGGTCGAGGAATCTGTATTTGTTAAATTTGATGAATCTGTGTGTACTAACAAAATTTATGTTGAAAGCATAGACTTTTTGTTCCCTGTTTCTAAAGAAGAGTAAGATTTTGAGCAAAATGGAGCTTCCTCTCAAGAAGAAACACAAGAACACAAGAGTGAACCATGTGATGATTCAAGTAAAGAAGAGGAAAAGAAGGCTCCATCACATATCCAAAAGTGACATCCTCCCTCACAAATTATCGGACAGCTTGGTGATGGCATTCACACCAGAGGTACCTCCTGACTTCTCGGACGAAGGGGTATATTATTGCGCGAAACGGTGTCGTTGTCCATACGCAAAACGATGTCGCTTCCAACAATCACAACTCTAGCATGAAATAAATCATCTTGTTGGGATTTCGTCCTTCGAAGTCTTCTTCTCCCAATCTTGCAGACTCCTCCTACAACGATCTTCTTTCCTGGCTCCCCCCTCACAAGAAACAACGACAGCTTTCTCGAGTCTGCCTCATTCGCCACTGCCTTTACTACTTCGCACAATGATGAAAGCTATGGGGACTGCTCTTTAGGAAATTGTCATCTTCTTCCCTTCTATTATAAATTATGATCTCCTACCTCTAATTAGAACTTGTGAGTCTGTAGCGAGAGTGATAGATAATAAACTCCTCTACTTTGGGTCCATTTGTGTAGCTACTTCAGTTGATTAAATCACAGTGTATGAGTGTGTACTGGGTGATTTGAATCTTGGAAAGTAGAAGTGTTGAGTGTTTTTGTTCAAAGAGCCAAGTCGATTGGCTTGGCTAGGGTCTTCTTTTGTATCTGTGTACTTTCAGTTCAAAATTACTTTCCTTTCTGAAAATGTTCAATTTAGAGAGTTTGAACTAGAGTTTTCCTTGAGCTCTTCCTCCCATTCTGATTTCACACATTTGTGGGGTCCACATAAAAATATGTTTACATCATTGCAGTACGCGAAGATCACTTTTATAGCCCTCATTATGCACGATGAAAATTTTGTTATAATTTTTATGATTACATTTCTTCACCTCTTTTTTAACTAGATGGGGCGAGGCGTACGAAAAAATATGGAAAATATGCCACTACATTAAAGTTGGTGAACTATTGTACTTCGACCATCTAATAAAACACAATCTATTTGTTTATTCCAGTATACAAAATTCACACGTACAACAATAATTAATGATACCATTACCACATATAACAATGAAATTTCCTTCGTAGGCAAGGCAAGATATTCTTGAGGAACGCAATCTTCACATACGAGGATTGTGTTGGCATATATAGGCTCAAGCTAGTTGGTAAGAATACTCGTGGAGAAATGACTTGTCATAACTCCTCCTTCTTAGCCACTCATACTTCTAGGTACTTCTATACCTCAATAGTTTGTTGCATAACTCTATCTTGCGGGTAATGGTATCATTAATTATTTCTATTTTGCTACCCACAATGATATTAATCCCTGATCGTCTTATATGGAAATGCTCTATTGAACTTAACGCTCATCAATAGTCGGATCCTCTTCCCTTTGATTGCATGTTCTGGAAGTAATTTGGAATCTTCCACTTCCCAATCTAGCCAGAGAACCCATGCATTAAATTATAAAAACATTCTTGGTTTAAAGTCATGTAGGTGCGGTCAAGCAGAAAAATTCTCGGAGCTCTCATGTGAAGACCACCTACACAGACATACATCTGCGACTCCCAAAGCTCAATACTTTCTTACGGTGAATAATTTTTAGATTCATCAATGTTGCAATACAAAACATTATGAACATAGGATGTCTATCCAATATATTCTGCAGGTTCCAGGGGCGAACCATATGTTTTAGAGGTTTGTCTTCATAGGAACCCAGGTCAGGGGCGGAAGTAGATCAAAATTGGGTGGTCCCAGGACCCACCTTGGGTATTGGTCAGAAATCCAAAAGTAGGAAGCAGTTCCACTGCTTTTGCTGTGAATCAAACATGTATCACTGATACTGAGAGTCTAAAGTTTTTACCCTACACTACAAAAAATCCTGTGATCATATTTACTTTTAATGTTATATAGAGATGAAATACATTATACATAAATAATTTAAAATGAAGTAAGAACTTATATCAAACTGTTTATTCTAAATTTACATTCCCTACCTCGATGCTCAACTTCTCCTTCCCAAACCAAACTCTGTTGCCACAAATCCTCACCCACCATTCCAATTGATCTCGCCTTTCATCTTATTGCAGAAAACCATCTCCGTTGGTCTACCCATCTCAAACTAATCCTCTCCCCATTATGCACTAGCCACTGTCAATAGTTATGACTCTCTCTCATAGGCCATCTTCGGGTATCTCGTGTTGATCCTCTTTGTGGTCTATTAGCGTCTTAGATCTGGTCGAAGTACTACACTTATAGCGCCTCTCTCACTCTTCCTATGCAATGCCACTTAACACAACACCAACCACTCTATTGCTTTACTATGACTTAAGAGACAAGAGGAAGAGAACAACAAGCATGCAAGCCGCAAGTAAATAAAATTCCAAGTAATAGCAATGCTTCGCAATCCCACTTTACAATATAATAGAATCTTCATGAAAATGCTTCAAGTAGCTTAATGAGGAAGGGAATTTACAAATTAACAATTGTTCTTCATGCTTCCATATGTTTGTTTGATTTCAATATAATAATAACTGGCATTTCATAGGGAAATTGTTATAGTTAAGTGGCAAAGAATTCAATCAAATAATTGCAAGTTGAATAATAATAATAGTCATGGGTGGGGGGTTTAATTCTTTGTTTACTTTCTTGTTTATGTAGATTTTCATTATGGAGAAATCTATCGGAAAAAGGTCTAAGACAACCTCAGATGTTCACGGACATGAGGTTAGTGGGTCAAGAGTGGTTTCACATGATTCTAATTCAATGCAACCACGAATATTGTCACAACAATTTCTCTCGATAAATCACTCCAGACCTTGATTTTTATATGATTTTAATTTGAGTTCTATGAAAGTTGGTCCCGGTTTAAGAGAACAATTATCATGCTTTCATTATAATGTTCAAGATATGGTTAGAAGATATTATCTTTAGCACGTTCCTTATCAACTCAATCATAGCTTTCCATCTAAAGATATTAGGGGAAGGCTTCGCAACTTTAAAAACTTCTTGGTATAAACAATAGCATAGGTTGGAGTATAGCATTGCAAATGATGTGGCGTACTGCTCTCTTTGTTATTTGTTCCGAAGTGCTAATGGTAGAAAGGGTGGATGTGCTTCTTTCATTTTTACTGGTTTTAAAGCATGGAATAGGGGAGACTAAGCTCTTGATAACCATGTTGGTCTTGTTAATAGTGATCACAATAAGGTTATGAGAAAGTGTGAAGACTTGTTAACAAATTCGCAAAGCATTAGTGTCGCTTTATGTAAACAGTCAGATCAATTGATGAAAGA